ATAGAGGAAACATGCTCCATCCGTCTCTGCGTTTTGGATCGGGCATGGCCCGTCCACTCTCCAACCGCGGCAGCACAGAAATCAAAATGAAGAAAAAGAAACGAAAGCACACAGGAGTATAGACGAGAGCACGGACAGATGCATCGAGAAAGAAAATGTGGTCCGACCTCGCTGGAACCCCGCACGCTGGATCCAGGTGGTGTTGCTGGGAGGGGGCCGGCCGGCTGGGTCGCCGCTGCACCCGCCCGCGCCTTCGGTCGGGTCGCCTCCTTCCACTCCCGTCGCTCCATCGGTCGCCCCATCCGGGTCTGCCGCGCCCTCGGTTGGGCTGCCGCCGGAGACCACCGCCACGCTCACCCCAACACCTTCCTCCTCGGTCGGGCACATGCGGACTGCAGGGCAGAGGTTGGGGATCTGGCCTCGACAGAGGGAGCAGACGAAGTACGAGCCTGAGAAAGGACTGGGAGATCTGAGCATCACCGGAGCTAAAAAGAATAACAGCGAGAGAGAGAGAGGGGAGAGATGGTAGTCTACCTCGCCGTCGACGCTAGATCCACCGCTGCCTGTGCCAGGGCTGCCACGCCGGGCCGCCTATGACCGGGGCCCGTCCGCGCTGTTGCGCCGGCACGTCGGGGGCCGCTCAGGCCTCCGTGCGGGGTTCCGCCTGTGCTGAGGCCGCCATACCAGGGCTGCTACGCCGCCGCACCGGCACACTCGCCCGCACCCTCACTCGTACTACTGCGAGAGAGAGGAGGAGCGGTGGAGGCACATGAGAGAGAGGGAGGAGCGGTGAGCAGAGTGGAGAGAGGGGGAAAGCGCGGTGGACAGGGCTGATATTTTCTTTTCCTGCGCGCCCGCGCCACGGGCGTTGAGAAGCGCGCATCATGCAGAAGCGTCCCCGGCCAATGGCCGCTCGACAACGGAAAGCGCTCCCTAACGGGTGACCCGGCGCTGGCCATTTCCTGCTCGACAGCACACTTGCATAGTGGGGCCCGCCGATTTTAGGCCAGCGACGGCCAATGCAAGAGGGAGGAGGTTAGCCGAACGGGGCCCGCCTGGCCGTACCATCGCCGCCCCTTGGTCAACGAAAGCACCACCGATCATCCGGCATCCAATGGCCGGCAATCGATTCATCGACGTGGCCATCATGAGGCCACGCCTGGCTCCTGCTGTTCTCTTGTCTTTAGATGCGTTTGTACGTGTTCTCCTTAAATCTTAATACAGGTATGTTAAAAAAAAACTGCCAATCTTAAGGAAAACTGCTTGCCTACTTAAATTGTTATCACGTTAGTGAAGCGATTTTTTATTCACCTTTTACGTTGTATAATATATATAAACTCTATGTGCAGTGCAATCCATTTATATGGTACACATACATTCACATTCTAATATGTGCCACGAGTGTATTTATTTAGGCCTTGTTTAGTTTCTCACCAAAAGTTTACACTCTATCTCGTTGAATGTTTGGACACATGCATGTAGTATTAAATATTGACTAAAAAATAACTAATTGCACAGATTGCGACTACTCTGCGAGACGAATCTTTTAAGCCTAATTAGGCCATTATTTGACAATAAAGTGCTATAGTAACACATGTGCTAATAATGGATTAATTAGGCTTAATAAATTCGTCTCGCGGTTCACTGACGGATTCTGTAATTTATTTTTTTATTAGTATCCGAACACCCCATGCGATACCCTCATATGACACCCGATGTGACACATCAAAACTTTACACCTGAAAGTAAACAAGGCCTTACCCTCTACCACACCCATGGCTTGCCGGTGTAGGCCCCATTTGAAATGGAGGAACACGAATTCTGAAGGATTCAACTTCTATAGAAAATTCCTATGACACTTTTTGAAACAAAGGAATTTCCCTCGATAATTCTTTAAAATTCCTATGAATTGGATCATTCTAAACGATATTTTTGAGAAAATTAAACATGATCTACAACAGCATTATTTGTTTCCTATGTTTTTCCTACATTAATTCCAAATTTCTAAATTGCTTCCAAAGGCATCTTCTGTTTTGTTTCCTATGCTTTTTCTACATTGCTTCCAAAGGCATCCTTCCTAAACTTTCCTTTGTTCTGAAATTCTATACGATTTAATTTAATGTGTAAGGGCATTTCATTCTTACATTTTTCCAATTTCTATATTTCGTAAATCCTTTGGAAGGGCCGTCCACTTACTAACGAATCTCGCTCCTCCATGTAAGAAAGATCAATATATACCACTAACGTGACTGAATTATGAATAACTGGTTTGGAGCAGCATGCAGCACACAGGATTTCTTTTTTAACTAAAATTTATTCTTCTGTGAAGCCAATAGCGCAATTGTACAATTTAGTCTAGCAATCTCATAACATGACGTACACCAATATCACATCATGATAAGATTCACAAGGCGGAGAAAGGTGTCGTCTTGGCTGTCTTGACTCCCTTTCACAGCTCGAGCTTGCTAGCTAGGAGTGCATGGCCAAGCTGCCAAACGACATGATGTTGGCTAGTGATGACAACCCGTCGATCATTCCAGACTTCTTGTTCATCCACCTGCTGGTTCTTTGGCCATGCGACTTCCTCGCCGATGCTCAGGTCCCACTCAATCTTGTGCCTCTTCATCATCTGCAAACAGCGATCAACCATGTCAAGTGAAATTGCATGAAAGAAGATGTAGGAGAAGAGAGGGCATGTTCTAGTTAATCTTAAATTAGTTTCTGACTTTCCAATTGAACTTTGGTTGATAATAGAAATTAAAACATAAGTGTTGTGCAAGTGTCATATTGTATACAAATATTGCATTGGGAAAAGTTAAAGCTAACTGTTGCATGATCACATAGTACAAAATGTTGGACTGGCCATTGCCAGCAACATCCCGATTATGTGCTGAACATTTGAGGAATCCTTTCCGCAGATATAAAGAATATTTGTGTAAACTTTTCCCCTAAGACATATTACCAAGATGAAAGAAACATGAACATGTTTGGCTAGATATTGATTGTTCACAGAAATGTAATAAAAGGAATTTTGCCTGGTAGAAGGCACCCTGTGCTTGCCAGACTGTACATGGGCTACACTGGGTTCACAGAACATCCCAATCACTTGCAAGATCCATAAAATAACATAATTTGATCCAATAGCATTATCCTATACCAACTAGCATTCACCCTGGGTCGAGTAAGACACTGTAGTGTCAATTTATCATCTAAAGCTTACCTTCAATCCTAGTTCAAATAGCAAGATGTTCAATAAAATATAACATTTTTTTCACTGCAGTATATATTATGGTTTGCAATTTTAAATAGTTCTGACAAAACCCAATGCCAAAACACTTGCGCAACCACAAGTTGATCGTGTATTGCATCAAAAAAAGCTAATTGTTGTTGGATGAAATGGATCAATCATATGCTCCCTCATTAGCAATGTTGTATTGAACAAGTTTAGCGTCTCGGTAGTAAAAAGAACATGATATGAAACAAGTTTGCCTAGGCAACCTGTGCCTGCCAACTAGACATGGGCCAGACAGGGTTCACACCGCCCCAATCACTTGCAAGATACTAAAAAATAACAAGTTTGCCTAGGTAACTCCGCTAGCACTATACCACAGACCACCTATAACTCCGCTAGCACTATAAGTTATAGCGACCTACGATCGATCGGTATAGATCTATGCTGACCCACCCCCACCCCCCATGTGCCGCTGATAGTGGCGTTGGTACAATGGTAATGTTAACTAATATTCACTTGGGTCGTGTGAGACATTGTGCTGTCAACCTCATATAGAGCTCAGTTTGAGTTGCAATTTCAATCATATATTATTAAATGAAAAACATTTGGTTATCACTAATTTAACCTTAACTTTCTTTTAAGAGTGGTGAAAAAACCTAATGCAGATTGCAGAACCATCTGTGCAACTACAAGTCAATGGTATAGAACCACCATTAAAGCTATCCAACAATACTGGAGCAATCATTTTAGACAACAGGGGTGTATCATAACAAGCATCATATCATAAAATCATATTTGCATGGTAGGAAGTCGGCTGCTGCGCACCAATCAAAACCATATAATTACAGGTAATGTTGCATTCAAAAAATGGTTTCCACAATAACTCCAGTTTTTTTTTAGAAGCTACACAAACAAGCAAAAACAATAAATTGATGGCTGATTGCTCACTGAGCATTGCGCAATACGGCTACAAACCAAACCAAGACAGGCAATATCAGCTTTATTAGCATGGAACACCTTTTAAGACCCGAGAAGCCCAGAAATAAAAAGAACCCTATGGCCTGATTTATTACATTCCAGCAACTAGGTCGCTAGCATGAGCTTATAAGAAAGCTATCAAATTTACCTGAGGATTTAAACTAAACCAACCTATTATTAGTCCATTGACTACATACAGATTTTGCATTCAACTGTCAATAATGAAACAGTGACCATTATTTCTAATCTCTATAAATTGCACACCAGATAAAGCATTACTCAATTTCCTACAAGTTAAGATAAGGATTGATTAGTGACTTATTCAGTAACTCATATACATAGACTTCTACAATCATGTTACAGCCATCACAAGTTCTGAATTCTTGTAGCCTCTGTTCTATTTTTTGGCAAGCTATATTACCAAATTAGTAACATTCACCCAGTGTGTCATGTGAGACATTGTGATAATGTGATGCCAATATCTGTCATTTAACACTTAACTAGTACTGTAGTATAAATTATGTAGTATATTTATTGATTAGAGGAATAACGATAATGGTACTTTTCAGCAGAATATTATAAACTACACATGGATTGATAGAAAAAATAATCCAAGACGCCAAAGGATCACATGGACTACAAGGGCTCCATGGTGACAATGGTGGATGCGAGAAAATTTGGATATGCCAGCAGCAAGAGCTCTTTGGTAACAAGTAGGATGAAATAGCAAACCACCAATACAATATAATTCCCAACAGCTGAAGAAACATGAAAGACAGTTCTTACCATTTCATATGCTTGGCAGCGCCAACAGTGGTGGAAATCTTGCATAAGGAAAACCAAAGAACATTACACCGTTCTTCAAGGTGCAGAGCTCCTCAAGACGAAATGTCTTGATGTCCAGTACAAAATACTTGAAATGCATTCCGAGATGCGCTAGTAGACCTACGTAACGCCCTGCTGTGCCCACAATGCACCAATGATAGTCGATCCTATAGTCTTCGGGTAAAGGAATCAGCTTGTCATGTTGCCACTCTTGTGCCGCAACACCATTGTTTTGCCAATTCTTGCAATACAGGTCAACTGTGTCATCACCAATAGTTAGCAACCCGAGTCTGCCTTCCCCTGCCTCGATGATGGCACGCTGTGACTCGGAATAGGGGGGCGGCAGGAGATCAAGGATGGAGAATTCCATCTCACTTGTATCAAGCATTAGCGAATAGCCTGTGAAGTCCAACAACCAGTGCACGCAGCCGTGCGCATAGTCAGGCATTCCAACACGTCCATAACGAGGCAAAGAAATCGTGCTAATAATACCTCGCCATGTCTGGTTGCAGGAAGAGAAGATGAAAACCACGACCTTGCCATGGAGCTGCACAGTGCAGATAACTCTGAACGATTCCTCCTCGTCATTCTCGCCGCCTGGAGCCCGAATGGGGAACACATGGTGCGACATACCATTGTATGCGGCGGAGGCCAGTAGGTCGTCGGGTATCCGAGGAATCTTGACGCACCGGCGGTACATGGGGTCGCAGACTACGAAATCACAGAAGTCAGATTTGGGGGAGATGCCCCGGGCGAGGAGGACGCGGCCATCGCGAGCGTGGCGAAAGCACCACCCGCCGGGGAGGAAGGAGAAGGTGAAGTCGGCGGCTTTCTCGAGCGCGCGGGCTTCCGGGGCTGAGCGGTGGGGCGGATCGACGGGGGCGTATAGGTCTCCGTCGGTGAACCCGAGGACTGCAGGGGAGCGGAGGGACCGGAAGCGGCGGAGGAACCGGCGCTCGGAGATGATGCGGCGGAAGGAGGAGCAGGCGGCGGAGGCGCGGGCGAGGTCGGCCGCAGCGTCGAGGCGCAGGAAGATGTCCTCCCAGACCTCGTCAGGGAGGCCGGTCAGCGCCGCCGGGCCTCTAGCGGACCGCCGTCGCGCTCGCGCTTGCGCCGACGTCGACGCCGTCGCGCGGTCTGCCGCCAGTGGGAGAGGACGGCGGGCTCTGGCGGTCCGGCGTCGCGCCGACGTCGATGCCATCGCGCTGTCGGCCAGACGTGGAGGAGGACGGCGGGCTGTGGCGGACCGCCGTGGCGCCGACGTCGATGCCATCGCGCCGTCGGCCGGCTGTGGGAGAGGACGGCAGGCTCTGGCGCTCCGGCGTGGCGCCGACGCCGACGCCATCGCGGGGTCGGCCGACTGTAGGAGCGGAGCCGGCTAGGGATTAGAGATTTGGGGGTGGGGCTCGTGCGGAGTACTGTGTGCCCTGTGCCTGTGTGCGCCAACACTCTCCGTTCCCACATTTACCAATCAATGCCGAAAAAAGTCACTATTTTTTTAATAGATAGAAAAAAAAACATGATATTCTCGCCAAGTCACTGCAGCAAACCAAATTACCCTAGCAAAATAGACGACGATGACAATCTTAAGGGAAGCTGCTTGGCTACTTAAATTATTGTCATGTTATATCATTTTTAGTGAAGCGATTTTTTTTCACCTTTTTACGTTGTATATAAGCTTCATGTGAAATCTGTTTATACGGTACATACACATACATTTGCATCCGAATATGTGCCGCAAGTGTATTTTAGTTTACCCCTATCTCTTTGTACCTCGCCGGTGCTGTCCTCGTTTGAAATGGAGGAAAAACATAAGAATTGTGAATTTCTATAGGAAAATAAAATCCTATGATGCTCTCTGGAACAAAGGAATGCTTCCTAACAATTCTTTTCAATTTTTTATGGACTAGGCCATTCTAGAGGAAGTTTAGAGGACACTAAACATTAGCTACAACCTCATTTTTTTTACTTGCTTTTTTGACGTACAGCTACAACCTCATCGTTTAGTTATGTTTTTCCTATATTGCTTCCAAAGACATCCTCAGTTTTGTTTCCTATGTTGTTTCTACGTTGCTTTCAAAGGCATCTTTCTAAACTTTCCCGTTTTGAAATCCTACACGATTTAAAGTGTTAGCATTTCATTCTTACATTTTTTCTATTTCTGTATTTTTTTTAAATCCTTTGTTCCAAAGAGAGCATTTCATTCTTACATTTTTCCTATTTTTGTTTTTTTTAAATCCTTTGTTCCAAAGAGAGCATTTTATTCTTACCATTTTTTCGATTCCCGTGTTATGTAAATCCTTGGTTCCAAAGAGGGACGTACACTTGCTGATGAATCTCAATTGGTCACTCCTCCACATAAGAAACATCAACAAATACCACCAACGTGGCTGAATTTTTCTGATTTTGAATAACTGGTTTGAGAGCATCATGCAACACATCGGATTTCTTTTTTAACTAAAATTATTCTTCTCTGAAGCCAATAGCGCAATCGTACAATATAGTCTAGCGATCTCATAAGATATGACATGCACCAATACCACCATCCTGATAAGATTCGACACAACAAGACCGAGAAAGTAGTCATCTTGGCAGCCCTTCACAGCTCAAGCTTGCTAGCCAGGCACCAGGAGTGCATGGCCAGGCTGCCAAATGACATGATGTTGGCCAGTGATGACAGCCCGTGGATCATCCCAAACTTCTTGTTCGTCGCAACAAGGGTGGGGTTGGATTTAGCCAACTGCAGATCAAAGCCCTAATTTGGTTTTGGCTAATTGATGAAATCTATTGGACTAACCCTATGCTCTAAGTGTGTAAATGAGATAGATTGGTCCAAGTCTTTGGTGGAGCTAGTGGCACTGATGGAAATGGCCACAAGTGATGATCAAGAGCTCCAACATAAAAAGTAAGAAAGAGAAAAACAAAATGCAAGGGCTCAAGGCAAAGGTATATTCTAGGGCATTTTGTTTTGGCGGTCAAGATGCTATAGAGTGTGTGATTAGGTTTAGGATAGATAGCCGTATTATTAAGAGAGGAACTCTCACGAAAAACACGATTATCAAGTGCCACTAAGTGAATTGACTCCATGCATGTGCATTAGGACCTAGTGAGTGCTAACAGCCCTTGAAAAATGTTTGTGAAAATACTAACTCACCAACACAAGTGATGGAACTTTGTGGTGTTAACACATTTGCACAAGGGTTGAAGAGAAAGGAAGAGAAGGAGTTCATTGTACTGCATCAGACGCAAACGGCGTAGGCATCGGACAAATGAACCTTGCATCCGATGGCTAACCCTAAGACAGAAGTGGCTCGGCATAGGCATCGGACGCTAAAGCGAATTGCATCAGACAAATCAGGGAGCATATGACGTGTTTTGGTTGCTCTCTGTTTGGAGAAATAATTCTTCGGACATTTCGCGAAGGCATCGGACAAAGTGAAAAACATGCACCAGACAAAATGCTAGCACTGTTCACCTGCTGACCACGCAGTCAACAGAGTATCGGACGCTAGAACTAGTCCGATGAAGGGCATCATAAGTGTCCGATGTAACTTGGAGCTCTCTGGGTACTTTCTGGATGGCATTGGACGGTGGACATCAATTAGTCTGATGTGGCATCATACGATGGGACTCTGGCACGCGCGGAGAGAGCCATTGGGAGGCAATGGTCGACTTCAAATGGCTAGTGACACGCGGCATTCATCCGTGCATCGTACGCTCACAACATTTGTCTGATGCCCTTGTTATCGTCCGATGCCCCGTGACCAGCCCAATGAAGGTGGCAACGGCTACTTGAGTTGTTGGGGCTCTATATAAACTTGTTGTTCGGCTCATGGAGGTTCCCTTGGCCATTTTCATTAGTGATACAACCTTGTGAGCCTATCCAAACACCTCCCACTCGTCTCATTCATTGTTTCATCATCATAGTGAGATTGGCAGTGATCCAAAGTGCATTTGCATTGTGTTGGAATCTAGTGGCACTTGGGATCGTCTTTGCTGTGGGATTTCTTGTCACTCTTGGTGGTTGCATTGTGTTGGCATCTAGTGGCACTTGGGAGCAGCGGTGATCATTGAGCGGAGCGTGGTGATTGTCTTCGGCTCCGATCGATGATTTGTGAGGGGTTCTTGTACCTATTCCCCACGAGAGATCACGAAAGGCAACTCTAGTGGATTGCTCATGGCTTGTGGATCATCTCTTGTGTTGGTTCTTACGGTGCCCAAGTGGTGGGCTAGGCGTGTGATGCCTATTGGCGCGTGAGCCACCAAATGAGTGTATCGCCACAACATTGACTAAGTTGCCGGCAAGCAACCAAACCACAGGATAAATAATCTTGTGTCATCCTTGGTATTCATTTGATTGATTTATCTCTTGCCTGGTTTGGTATATCGCTCTATCACTTGCATTTCAATTCCTAGTATACTTGTGTAGAGCTTGCTTGTTTACCTTGTTTAGCAAGTTGAGTAGCGTAGTTGTAATTAATTGTAACTAGTTCCTTAGTTAGCTCACTAGTTGTTGTAGTTGTTGCCTAGCTTGCTTGATTGTGTGAAAATCAACTTAGAGATCATAGCAACTAGTATTCGGTAGGTGGCTTGCTTAAAGTTTAGTAGAGCTAGAGCAAAACCGCATTATCGCCATCTTGTTATCTAATCAAGTTTGCTCTAGTGTTTTTGTAGAATTTTTATTTGACCATTCAACCCCCCTCCCCCTCTAGCCATTTAGGACCTATCAGTAGATTGTTTGACCATCCGACTTCCTCGTCGATGCTCAGATCCCACTCAATCTTGTGCCTCTTCTTCATCATCTGCATGCGGCGATCAACCATGTAAAAGGAAATTGCAGGGAAGAAGATGTAGGGGAAGAGAAGGCATGTTCTAGTTAGGCTAAAATTAGTTTCTAACTATCCATTTGAACTTTGGTTGATAAGAGCATCTCAAAGAGACATTCTAAATTCCACCCTATATCTTCATTTTGCTATCGACCCTATAAAGATTCCCTCTCCATAATTAAGTACACCCAAACAGACTACCAACATCTCACTCTCCATATTCTATTGATCTGTATTTTATTAGTATTAAAAAGTAATATGAATTGCTATATTTTTTGGTGATTTTGAGAATTGAATTGATACTCTTAAGTTGAAACATTTTACGAAAACAGTTAACTTTGAAGAATTTTAATTAAAATCTAGAAGATTTTGAGTAAAATCCAACTAAAATGAGTTCTCTATTATTTATTCTATTGACAAAAAATATACATTAATTTTAGAGCTTGATATGACCACCTTTTGAATTTATGAAATGAGGAGAAAGGACTGAAATTTTAGAGCAACATAAACATGACACTAGTTGTCAGCCTCACATAAACCAAGATAGCGAGGCACACGGGCCAACCAAATTTTGCTACCGAGGCTCACGTGATAGCACGTCAAATATGATAGAGATGGTATAGGCTAGTATGTTGGTGGCTAGTTTTCTAGAGCGTTAGCTAAAAAAGCAATAGCAAGTTAGAAGATGCTCTAATACAAAAATAAAACACAAAGTGTTGTGCAATTGTCATATTGTATACACACATCGCATTGGAAAAAGCACGGTTGCATGATCCTATAGTACAACATGTTGGATTGGCCATTGCCAGCAATTCCAATTATGTGGTGAATATTTGGGGAAGCCTTTACACATATATAAATAATATTTGGGTTAACTTTTCCCCTATTACCATGATGAAAGAAACAGAAACAGGATTGGCCAGATATTGAGTGTGCACAAAAATAAAATAGAAAAAAAATTGTCCGGTACATGAGCTACACGGGATTCACAGAACACCCCAATCATTTGAAAGATCTATAAAATAACATACCAACTAGCATTGACCCAGTTGGATCGAGTAAGACACCATAGTGTCTGTCAATCTATCGTCTAAAGGTTACCTTAAATTCTAGTTCGAATAGTAAGATGTTCAACAAAATATAGGCAAAATTGGCTACGGGACATTGAAAGTGACCTCTCTTTGCTGCTGGACATCCAAAATAGAGCAGTTTGCTGAAAGACACTTTGCTTCTTGTCAAATTTGCTGGTGGACACCAGATCCAATAAAATATTTATTTTTGGCATTCGAGGAGAGAGAAGAGTGGTAAAATGCCCGTTATGCCCCTGCCTCTTTCTTCTTCCTTGCTCGCTTTCTTTTTTTCGGGCACGGGTGGCCGGCGAGCTGGGCGAAGGTGGCTGCGGCCTCAGTCAGTGCCCGCGGCGAGCAGTGAGACATGCTCACGTCGGGAGAGGAATAGGACGGCGGCGCATCGAGCACGACACAGGCCGGGGCGGTGACAACCGGACACGACGAGCAAG